TGAGAAGTAAACACATTCTTCCTTGTGACTTAGTTTGTGTCCACCTCATGAACAGGGGATTGAGGAAGTGAGGAGAAAGGAAGTGTGAAAGGGGTAGAAGGGAATAATGATGATGACTCCCATTTTTCTCTGCCCGCTCTAATTGTGTGTTGTTGCTTCTGCCTTGAGACCTAGTACATCTGTTTGTGTGCATTTGTATATGTGTGTAGAATGATAATCGGTGAATATCTGAAGAGCACTGTGGTGGATTTTCAGTCAGTCTCATTCAAAACCATGTAGTACCTGTTGAACGCTGTTTGTAAAACAAACTTTACAAAACTTTATTGTTATTACATAGTTATCTTTATTCATTGCATCTTGTCTTAACATGACCTGTGGGTCCACATGGGACAACTTACGGTCAAGAATTGTCAAGTGTGCACAACTACCCAAACACAATCAAATGCTGGACCCAGTCATTTCTGGTGGTCCTTATTTCATTGTCATTTTCATGCCACAAAGCACTGTATTAATCATGTAATTATTAGTAAATGTTTGATAAATTAATTTGACAAAATGCAAGCATCATCCTGATATACTGTATATACAGTGGAACCTTGGATTGTGAGTAACCTGGTTTGTGTTTTGCAAGACGAGCAAAAAATTTTGATTCGATATAAGAGTGAGGTCTCACAATACAAGTAGTACGTACACTTTGCCGAGCGTCACATGACATACGTCACAACTGAGCTGATGGTTCTTGCGCCTCACTCATATAGTCAACATCTGTACTGCAACAATGGCCCCTCACGCCAGCCACGATTCTTTTCAAAGGTAAAGTGCAGGTTAATTTGTTTTATTTTTACTTTATACTGTATTTTGCATTACTGTAATCATTTTTTATATGGCTAAGTGGGTGTGGAACGAATCATCTGAGTTGCCATTATTTCTTATGGGGAAATTCACTTGATATGCGAGTGCTTTAGATTACGAGCACGTTGCTGGAACGAATTATACTCGCAATCCAAGGTTCAACTGTACATATATATATATATATCTATGAATTGATACACATACATATAACCCTGATTAAAATAGTCTGTCTGTGTCTTTATCATGCAGGACTTTGGTGTTTGAATTACCATTTGAATCAGTGCTTTGTTGCTTGTGTTCATCAGACCTGAAAGAACATCATAAGAATACAGCAGATGAGGAAGAAGAGAGCAGGAGGCAGCTGCAGCTGGCTGATGGAAGGTTAGATGTAGAGACAGGAGAAAGAAAAGGTTGGAAAAAAGGGGGAAAACAGAGGCAACAGGAACAGGCCAGATAACACCTAGACTGTCGCCTCCTAATGACAGAATTATGACTGTGCTCCATCTGCCGCTCAATCATAGCCAGCCAATCGGAGCCGCTCTCCAATCGGCACTGGTTCCGTTAGGCACTCCCATCTGTACTCACCACAGAATTAAGAATCTAATCAAATGCTCATATGTCAAGGAGAGGGAGAGACTCTTAGTTTGGGCTTGGTTTTCATCACGTTCCCAGTATGTGTGGCAAGTGATGCTGCCTGTGGCTGTGGTAATTTGATTTGTGTTCCAGTACTGATTCAGAATGGAAGTTAAGAGAGATGAAGCTTTTCCTTGTGTCTGTTGTACTTGGGCTGTCATGCCGTGATGAGTAATTTAAATTTTCAGTCATGCTGCCCCTTCTCTCCCACAGATCACTTGCTAGTGAAAGCCATCACATCCTCATCTCAGGATCTGACATGTGAGAAGTCTGGCATCCGGTGCTTCTGACTTTGTGTTAGTGTACTGTATATGTGGCTTTTGTCTTGCTGTTTAGGGAGAAATGTTGTGTTAAAAGTCAAGCTTGGCATTTTGCATACATCAGATCACAACTTTTTAAGTTACTATTTCACTCTCTCTTAGGATACTTCAGAATGAATTTCCCCTTTTGACTGATTTTTGGCTTTTCTTCACTAGCAGGTTCCATACCTGTCTCTGATCAACACTAGCCATGAAGTTGCCATTTGACAACTTGCTGCTGTTACTCCATCTTTTCTCATCTTTGTCTTGATGTATCTTTTCTTGCCCTCTCTTCATCATGTTTTCTTGTCTTCCTCTATCATAAATTTTATGCTGCTGTCCTTTGCCTGTTGGTTGGGGTTGGGGTATTTGAATGATTTGGTATGCAGTGACAGCACCATTCTGTTTCATTGTAGGAGCCTTTTCCTTATCTCCTTAATGGATTATGAGCAAGGGAACAAAAACAGAGGGAGGCAGAGTGAGAATGATTGGACTCCTTGCAAAGGGCCAGCATGAACTGGACTGCAGCCAGATAAATAAAACACTCTGCCTGTACATTTCCTTTACCCCTGAATCACAGATGTTATTAAGAAAGAGTACAATAGGAACAGCATGTAGTCAAGAGTCATTTGAACTTGTTTAGTCAACTTCTGCATTCTGATTCTGGGGGTATAGATGTGTTTTGTGCATTTGCACCACCACATCCAGCCCCCAGTTGTTTGTTGAATTTGTTTTCTGAGACATTAGACTGTCTTGTTCTGTCTTGTCTGCTGGAAAACAACAACAACAACAACAACAAGCAGCAGCTGGATGTTTAGGTAACCTTAGCTGTCAAGCACCACAGTTAGCCAGTTCATGGTCTTAATGCACAGACCTCACAGAGACAAACTCTGGTAGATTTGCTGAGCATGGAGGCTAAACCTTTGGCACACTCTAGATGAGTGCTGCTTTAAAGGCTGTTTCTCTTTTCTGCTGCTGCAACCATTCTGAATTGAGTATTTTAGCACATCCTTGATACAAGAGGGCAAGTGAAAGGCTTTCGTTGAGTCATCTTGGCCTGAATGATAACCAGTACTACATATCTTCTACATTAAGAGACGCTGATTTGATCTCCATCACCCACAGAAAACAGGTCAGTCTGAAGATCAGTACAGAACCGAAATATGAAACTCAAGTATCAAAAAATAAAGTCCAAATATGTTTCACATGTTCAGTACTTAATTCCACTGCTGAATGTTCATAAACTACAGCTATTAGTCATATGAATGTTTTAAAATCTGAAGTATCTGTTAGGTAACAAATGATTTCTTTCTTTATGTTAGACTCCTTTTCTGATGGTGAATGATGATATTTAAAAAAAGAAGTAAAGCACAACACTTCAAGGCTACATCATCTTACTTTGATGCTCCGGGGTTAGTTTGATTGAGCTATTTGCTGGTAGTGTTATGTCTGAAATGGTATTGATCAAGCAGGCAAAGACTGACCTGAAAAGATCTGACCTTTTGGGGCTTCTAGTCCAACAGACATAATGTTGATATTCTGTGCTGCCTGTGGTTAAATCCAATTTACTTTAGCCATTGAGGTGATTTGGGAATAAGCCTTGCTTTAGGCCATAGAGAAGACCATGTTCCATTTTTCTCTTATTCTAAGTCTGCACTGCAGCTGCATGTTTACAGAACATGGACGTTAAGCGGTTTAAGCAGATATGCTGCTATAATTTCCCCTCCTGCTGAGCATTTTTCCCCATAATTCCTGCTATAGTACCGTTCTCAAACCGGTGTTTTATGGAAGTGGAATGTTCTATTTTAAACTGTAAAAGCTGTGATTGTGTATGTCATTATGACTGTAAAGTTGTAAATGCTGCTGAAACCATACAACAAAACCTAGCTCTGGATGTTGCTCAGAAACAGCACATTCCTTTTTTTTTTTTAGTATTTTTTACTCCACTTACTTCACAAAACAATCTTTGATAGGCAGCAACTGTCCAGCTTGTTGCACTGAGTAGTGGTAGTTTTGAGAGTGTGGTTGCTATTTCTCTGGGGTTGATTGCACTGCTACCAGATTAGCTACAGTTGCTTTACCAAAAACCTGAGGTATTTTGGTGAAGATGATAAATTGCCACCTGTATTGTATTGAGAAACCAAGATCATAAAGTCTTTCTGATTGTATTGTAGTGTTGGGGGCAGAGGGACACTTGGCAGGGCCCCCGATAATGCCCATCTGGGCGGGATGTATTTACTTGGGATTGGCGGGGATTGTTCAGTGTATTTGGTTCTGTGGTGCGTTGCTGTGTGTTCCCCAGCAGTGTGATAATAAAAGAGCAGCTTTCCCAGCCTCGGGAGAGCACAGAAAAGGCAGTTTCAGTGTCCGTCAGTATTTATTTTCAAATACTGTAGGTGTCAAAAAAAAAGTTGAAAATGCTGTCATGATGTTGCTGTTGTTTTTACATGCATGGACGGTCACAGTATGGGAAATAGTTTGCTCGTTACATGTGGCTTGATTCAGAGATTGCTTCACTACTGTTGTCCAATAACAACAGGAGCTTGTTGTGTGCTTGTGAATCTCTCCATCTGCAATTTTGGCTAGATATGTGCACAGTAGACTACAGTAAGCTTAATGACTGTTGTGATGCTGAGCACTCATCTATGTTAGGATCATCTTTGGCTTTAGGTTTATACAAACATAAAACATTTGCTTATTCTGCTGTGATTTTTCCACATTTATCTCTGACCTGCTCTCTGTGTAAGACCTTGTGGAGCTGAGATTATTTTTAAGGTGATTTGAGTACAGTAGGAGATGAGGAATTCAGTTCAAGCCTTTTCTGCCAAACAGTTCTCTGTGTGTTCCATAAGTACTCCAGAGGAAAAAAAAGCATTTGTGAGAGCAATAGCCTTCGGGGGTTGCACCAAATGAAAATGCTTTTTTTTCTAAATCCCTCACACCTCACTCAAGAAGTGTTTGCTTGTTTTCTGTTAGTATCTCCTCTCTCTCTCTCTTTCTCTTTCTCCCTCTCTCTTTCTTTCTCTCTCTCTCTCTCACTCTCACTCTCTTTCTCGTTTTTTACCTTTGATTTGAACTCTGACATCCAAGTTTGCCCCAGGATGTCTGTCACAAACTGCAGTCCAACGTTGTGACAATGCTTTTTTTCTTCCCGTGCCTTTTATGACCTTCTTTTCTTCCTCTTTCTGTTTTTTTTTCTGTTTTTTCCCTTTCAAGGTCTGGCGCACCTGACGTTAAACGACCAAGGTATGGGTTCATTCCTTTTTATTTTGGTTCTGTTTTTTTTTTCTTTTCCTATAGAGAAATTGACTCAGCCTCTTCGCCCCCAGCCCCTCAAAAATGCCGCTTTTCCTCACAGTTTCCTCTACTGCTTTTTACCTTTTTTCAGTGTCATATCCCTGCATTCCTTCCTAAATTCCTTCCTTACCCTTTTAACCCTTTGCAACATCTTCCCCTGTTGCTGCCCCCAATGCCTCTCCTTTCATCACCTCATTTATTTGGTTGTGCCTTCTGCTTCTCCCTCCTCCCTTTCGCCATGTCTTTGTGCTTTTCTGTGACCTCCACCAATGTGTGTCCCACCCCTTGTCCTGTCCTATGGCTCACGTCCTGGACCTTCACCTCTGACCACCTTTGACCCCGACGACCTGACCCCGGGGCTGAAGGTAACACTTTTCTGCTTTCCCTTCTGCTAAACAAAAGGAAGAAAAAAAATTTAAAAATGCTGATTCTATTGGAAATGTGTTTGCTGGTCAATGTTACAAAAGCAAAATGTGTGATTCACTAACACTTCAAGGTGAAAGTGTTGTTGAATGTGCAGAGTTTCTCATCACCACTCTGCTGACATTCCCATTGTTTGGCATTCAGTTTTTAAAGGTCTACACTTACGGTCCTAATATAGCCTTAAATGATATCTGTTAAACATTGTTATGAGAAAATGTGCCTGCAGTTGTTTTGAATGCTATGAATGATGCTATGATGTTTTTATGCTATTATGTATTTACAGTACATTGTACACCACAGCTGTTTTATCTCTGCAACACCACATTTCTTTAGTCTATGTGACATATTTTTCAAAGGAAGGGTTTCAATTATGAGCAGCACATATTTTATGTTCCAAATCTGATGTTTTTTTATGTACTTCTGCAGCAAAATGCTCTACACATCAAACTTCGGTCTATTTTCTATCCCTTGCAGTTATGTTGTCCTCATTCTCTGACCTTTCTCTGCTTCTGGACCCCCAGTGTGGACTGTCCATTGAAAAAAAAATGTTACAGTAAAGTTCACAAAAGAGAAAGGAAGTGAGTAAGTGCAGTAGCCAGTGAAATTTCTGACCTTTACTGATGTGGAGAGAGCTTCTTCTTTTCTCTCATCACAGATGTAAGCAACAACCCTCTAAATTTGAGTCAGCCCTTTACTTTGTTTCACTGATGACTCTCAAGTTGTTTTCTCATTATCTCAAGATACTGAACAGTTTCACTGGAAAATTCAGATAAACTACTCTGACGTTTAGAGAACCATGTTGAACCATTCATCACCTTAGCAAATTTATGCTGTGAGGACTGGCACATAATATAAAATTGATTCATTGCTTTAAAATTGTTCCAGGATTGTCAGTTCTACTACTGCATTTGAAATGATACCTGAAAGATTGCCTGTTGATACAGTAGCACATTCTTGTACACAAGTACCCATAATGGTGTATTCACAATATTTAAAAC